AAACTCCACACTCACTCTGCTTGTGAGACGCCCGTCTCAATGTAATCTGGGGTGCATACCCTTACGTCCCAACCACCTGATCACCATAGAAAAACATCATAATATTACAAAAAAGTTGATGGGCAAACAACATTCCTAAGTTATTTGATTAACCAGAAAGAAAAGAAATGCTTACTGCTGTTGAAACATGTGTGTTCCCCTCGTTTGGCCCCTCTCTTGCAAGTCCGAAATCTGAAAGCTTCGGTTTGAAATTCTTATCCAACAATACGTTTGAGGCTTTAAAATCTCGATAAATCACCTTCAATATGAAACATACATAAAGGTTACAAGTACTGGCAAATGAACTTGGTTGACAAATGAAACTACTGCCAAATAGAATGATGTACAGGCACCCATTTGATCAATGTACCAAAGAGATGATATATTCTAATTAATGTTGAAACAAGAAGGTTGAACATATTCCTTAAAACCAACAAAGAGAACAGTAAAAGATGCCAAAGGGATTAAGCTTAGACCAAGGATGCCTTCTAAATTTGAGGATGAAAAGTAAAGGGCAAGAGTTGGAAGGGTTTTTAGCATGAAACCTGAACTTCTAATCCTTCATGAAGATAAGCTAATCCCTCAGCTGCTCCAAGTATAACCTGTAATCTTGTATTCCAAGGAAGAGCAGGATGAGCCCTGCCGAAAAGATGATCTTCTAAACTCTTATTTTGAAGAAACTCGTACACGAGTAGTCTCTGCATCCCTCTTTCTCCATCCACAGCACAATAACCTATGAGTTTTACGAGATTCGGGTGATCCACAACCCCCAGAAATTGAACCTCCGCAACCCATTGCTTATGACCCTGCATCAATTAAAACCCAGTTATAAGAGACTTAATTCATTTTTTTCTAGATAAAAAAATGAATTATAAGTATATGGCACCAAGAGGGTGTCATCTACTTACAAGGTATTTACAACTTACATAATAAATCAATGACATTTTCAAAATCTTTCGCCTTATAAATGTCATGACATAAAATTAAAGAGTCAAAAACATATATCCACCTATCTCTATTTCGAACAATTGTTCCTCTTTCTTCACACCATCCAAAAGATAATTAAAGAAATCAGTTTTACATATTTCTTCTTCGTACAAATTCCATTGCAAGTCCGTAGTCCATCTCTACCTGTACCCGCAGTAACCCAGTTGATACCCAACATACCATAAGAGATTAACATTATTCAGCTAAAGATTGATTCATTTCCATTTCAATCCACAGAGACGAGCATTCAATTATTTTATGTTTACCTTGAAAGAATTCCATTTTCAGATTTCTAAATGAATCACAATAAGGTTGAATATACCTGTAAGCCATTTCTGTTAAGCTTTTTGATGGCGACGACAAATGGTTCACCATTTCCATCGGCAGGCCTGATTAAACCTTTGTAAACACTCCCAAATCCGCCTTCACCGATCTTAAGCATCCTATTGAAATCATTAGTGGCGACCCTGAGCTCTGAGAAAGAGAAGACCCGCGAATTCTGGCCCCTCTCTTCGTACAGCTCAGGGATGCCACGAGGAGAAGTTGCAGAGTATGAGGAACTTGTGATTCTCTCAGCCCCCAAACTGTCCTCGGATTTTCTTCCTGATGCTTTCATCTCCGGGGCTGATCTTTGCCCCCTGCTTCTGTATTTGTCCTTTATGTAGTAAAAAAAACACTTCATTGCTTTCAGATCATATACCAAAACTGCTGGAGGAGTTGGATTAGTTAGTATCTCATCCGCCACGAAATAATTCTAGACAAAGCAAAATGAAAGAACGACGAGGACCCAGATAGAGAAAGCTCTAAACGATGAAAACCCAGGTGGGAAAGACGCTAAAAGGTTACCAAAAAAAAAAAAAAAAGCCAGAGATGGAATGAAACGTAAAAGGAAAGGAAGAAAATCCGGAGAAAGAAAATTTAAGCACGAGTTGGTCTAAAAATATAAAAGTGGAAGTAAAAAACGGTCAATTTGAACAAAACATCAAGGATCAAAATCACCAAATCAATCAAACCCAGAAAAAGGAAAGAAGATATACTAGTAAAGTAAAATCACGAGCCGATTGGAAGATGTCGAGGGTTTCTGATAGAAATAAAAGAGAAGAGGGGGAAGGAGGAAAACCTCAACGCGTTGCCTTCGTGATTTTTTAACAAGAATTTCCGGGTTGAATTTTGTTGATTTTCAACATTCAAAGCTTGTCTTCTATGTTTTCTGGGTAGACAAACAGAAGACGCAGAGGAAGGAAAGGGCGTTTGAGTATTGAATCGAGAAATGGTAGAAGAAGTAGGCGGATTAAGACTATCGCTGCGGCTGTTCACTGACCGTAGACTACTTTCGGTTGATGGAATATATTCAACAAAATGGCTTGAAATTATGTAAGGTCAAAGCTCATTGAAGGTTTAAGCTGACCCAATTTTTCCTCACCTGTCTATTTTCTTTTTAACTCCCTCGTGAACTGGGCCCCCCCCTTCTCACCCACATTTGCATTTTCACAATACATATATTATATACCATACGTGCGTATATATATATATATATATATATATAAACACACACACATACATACATTTATATATAAATATACATACCCATATGGTAATTTTTTAGATAGGCAAGTTTCAACAAAGATTCACTCTTTTACAAAGAAGTACCTTTGATACCTATTTTTAAACATTCAATTTTATTTCATTTTTCATAACATTAATTCCGTGTTACGTAAATTATTCACATCGAGCGATTCACCGATTGTATGGTTTATAACATTCATATCCGGTCTATCTCTCGGTGATAACAGTCAAACGAATTTACTAAAATTAAATTATAATAAATAAAAAACTTTATATATTAATTTATTATTCCCAAATTAATTATTCAACTCATCCGCCTAATTAATTCTCCTAACAAAGAAAAAAACAAAATTGTAAACATTAATTATGAGTAAAGTCATTGGTTGTTGGTTGCACATCAATTTCACACCCTCTATTTCTACATCTCCAAAAATTTAATCTTCCTTCAATCAAATCAACCTTTCTTCCTTAAAAATTTTGATTAATTAATTAATTATTTTAATAATCAATGTTTTGGTAGACTTAATTACCTTCTCATCACCCTAAATACATACATACATACATGCATACATATATATATATATATATCTACATATATACATATATATTATTTTATTATATCCAAAATGGAATCTTACACGTTGCTTGTCATCCTAAAAATTCTAATTTGATTGGTTGATTTCGTCATAGAAATCTAATTGGGTTCTACACATTAATTAGTCAAACACCCATCAATTTTTTTATTAAAATTTGAACGTGTTACTAAAATTTGTACATAAAAATTATTCAAAATTAAATTAATTATGTTCGTAATTTTAATTATACAATCACATATACATATTTTTTAGGTCGTAAAATATTTAATTTAAATTAAACACGTGATTAAATTAAAAATAATTTAATTTTATTTACATACTATATTAAAAATAATATAACAAGGGGTCTTCGCGTATTTAAAATAATAATAATAATAATGAGGACTTTTATTTTTTTATGTCGTACGAATGACGATTTAATGACGTCATTCAAGTATTTCTCACATCATATGCACGTGTTACGTTGCGTCACTAACGAAAACATGCAGTAGACCTCGGATTCGCTTAAGTGGCACCTTAGAAATAATTTTATTATTAATTTAATTTTAATTTATATATAATTTAATAAGGGAGCTCGTACTTTTAATGTTATAAATAATTAATTTATAGTTTAGTCTGCTAATTAAAAAAATAATAATACGTAATTTAAAATTATAATTGGGATTGAATTTTCATAAATTTAATATTATATTTATATTTACATTTATTTAATTAAATTTTAATTTTTTTTTTAAATATATAAATTTAATATGAATATTTTTTGGGTGGCCCAAATTCGAAACTCCAGTGGTGATATCCACTGAGATCCTAATTTAATAAGGCCCCAATAAGCCCATAACTTTTAACATTTTACGTTTTTGGCCCAAAAAATAATTAAAAAAAAGCCCAAATACTTTTAAAATTTGCAAATTACATCCCCACCCTACTAAACTATAAGGCCCAAACGAATATTTCACTCAGACAAATTAGACCTTCAAGCATCTCATATTACACTTTAGAAAAAAAATAAATGTTATAATATTTTATTCGGGTTATCCGAATTAATAAATATAAGTATTATAAAATATTTTTTATTATAATTTATTTTAACGAAATTTAATTTAATTATTATAATCATAATAATACACTAATAAATTAAATTTTACACGTAATTAAATTAGTTATAATATATTCATAACGTGATAAATTATACGTTTTTAATGAATTTTTAACTCGTGATGTTTAAACATAATATATAAAAATTAATCATTATATATTATGTCTGTGGTTGTGTATTACATAATGTTGATTTATAACTTGTTCTTTTAACATAATTTAAAAGTAAATGATATTTGAAGTACTCTAAATATAAATATATATATATGTACTTATATAAAAGTGAAATGTGTTTTTACCCAAAAGGAGCTTTATTTATTGGACAACCAACTAAGTGAATATATATATATATATATATATATATATATATATAAAATTAATTAAATAGCAACTCAAAATAATAGTTGGTTCCTTGCAAGCACTATGATTACTTATAGATACGGAAATGTAATATATAGTATAAGTATGTATATTAGAAATCATTGTTTTGTAGTTATTAGATTAATTTAATATATAACTTTAATTTAATATGGGAATTTCATATTTAGAAAAGAAAAAAAGTTCGAATACCATGTCACTTTCTAAAAATAATACATATTAACTTTTAATATAATAATATTTTAGTTATTATATTTATTATTTAAGTTTATATTTCCAACATATTTATAAAATTTATCTGTAAATTTATTATTAATTATGGCTATATTTGGAATAAAATATTATATAAAATTTATTAATGGATTCATATATAATTTTATATAAAATTATAAATGAATAATTTTGCCATATTTTAATATAAATTTATAATTAAATTAGTATAAAATGCTTAAATTATTCATAAAATGGAAAAAAAAAACAATATTGTATAGAATTTCTTAATTTTTACGAAATTTAGAAAATATTAAATATATTATTTATAACATTAAATTAATATTTTTATAATTCATAATTCGATTTAACTATTTTTCTAATTAAATTATTTATAAATTTAACTAAAAAATACTGGCCTGCGACAATCGTCACACCGGCCTCGCGGCGGCGCGTGAGAAAGGCGGAGTTGATTAATTTGTAATTAATTTCGGATTAAGAATTTAATTTTGTGATTAATTAAAATTAAGAGTGTCTGTTCAGTTGATTAATTTTTTTGATTAAGAGAAAATTATGAGGAAGGGGTTAAAGTAAGGTGAGAGTGAGAGAGAGAGAGAGAGAGAGAGAGAGAGAGGAGTAAAAAGAGAAGAGCGAAGAGTTCTCAGAAGGCGCGGCGCATTCGATTTCGATCTCCTAAAAAACCTACGCTTTTGTTTTGACCAAACCTTACTTTGTTTTTTATTTTATTTTTATTTTTTATTTTTCTCTCTTTCCCTCTTAATTAATCTCTCTGTTTCTCTCTTTCGTCCTCTTCCATCCAATAAAATAAAACCCTAATTTTCCCTTCCTCTACACTCCTCAGTCTCTCAGGTTTCGCTCTCGCTTTTTTTACTCCCGTCAATCAAACCCTAAATTTTACTCTCACCATTCCGCATAGATACACACACATGCATATTCTGTTTTCTATTTTTTATTTTCTCGTTTGTTCGTTTCATTACGGGTTTATGGTGTTCGATCTGTTTAATTGCAGACTAAACAAAGCGATCAAAGTTGGAGGAATTAAGCGTTCGGATATATGTCCTTCAATCAATCAAGGTCCGATAGAAACGACGCACAGTATCGGAAATCAGGGCGATCCGCAAGCTCCAATCAGCAGCGGTCCTCTTCAGGCGGTTACGGTAAGGGCGCCGGCGCCGGGCCTGCCCCTTCACCGACAATCACTTCGTCTTCCTCTTCCTCTGTCATTTCCAATCGCAGCAGGTATTCAGATTTAGGGTTTGTAAATTTCCATTATATATGTATATTTTTAAATTCTCGGCGGTGGACTTGGTTTTGATTTTAATTTGGGGATTAAGTGGGTGACTTGGGTTTGGAATCTGGGATTTTCAGCCGATTTTTATTCGTTGTGTTCACTCTATGCTTTCTGGCAGTTTTAAGAAATCCAACAATGCTCAGGGAGGGCAATCTAGGGTAAGTTTGCCTGCTGTGAATTCTTCTGAGTCTAGCAATGCGTCTACGCCCCGTAATGTGCAAAATGGGGCGCATGTACCGCCCCAGTTACATGGTACGATTTTGAAACCTATGGCTTTTCATCTTCTGTGTCGTGAATTATGATATTAATTTGTTATTGAGTATTGCAAGATGATTTTAGGTGAAAGAGGAAAACTCAACCTGTCTATTATCATTACCCGTTAGAATTTTGTTTGTTCATGCTCAATGTTTGTGGCAGGAGGTGCTGATGCACCGGTTGCAAGCGGAGCTTCCAAGCAGACTGAAGTTTCTACTCCTCAGAGAACCACCCGAACTCTTCCCAAGGCTCCAACTTCTCAATCGGCCTCCATGACTTCTGAAATCACCGGCCCAACAACACCAGCTAAGGGTATGCACATCTGTTACTTATCCTGTTTATTTTTATTATGCAATAATGAAGGTAGCTGACAGTATTTGTGGATGTGACATGTTATATCATCAGTAATTGTTTCTTTTGGCAATAATAACTAATTATATCCTTATGATATTTCTAAGTAACAGCCCCAGTTGACGCGTCTAAAGCATTCCCATTTCAGTTTGGGTCTATAAGTCCTGGTTTCATGAACGGGATGCAGGTGTTTATTTTTTCCTCTATGTTGCTTCATGACTGTTTCTCCTCCCCTGTCATTTCATCCTTTTTTTGCTGTGAAGTCATTGCATTGTCTTTAGCTGATGGATGTGGCATGGTCTACTTGTTTTTTCAGATTCCAGCTCGAACTAGCTCAGCTCCACCAAACTTGGACGAGCAGAGACGTGATCAGGTTTCTTTCTGTTTCATCTACAATTTCACTGTTTTTTCAATGATAAATGGACATGGAGGCTTCATTTCCATATCTTCTATTTCTTCTGTATAACTGTTTTCATGTATTAAAATGGAATTACATGGTTACTGCTTCGTGATTGTTACATGTTTAACTTTACCGGGACCTAGATGTGTGGTACAAGTTCTCCAATTGAGTAAAATCTTGATATATTATTGTTGATATGTAGTCTCATGTTTTTTTTTTCCATATATGATGTTATAATCTGGTTAATACCTTTCAGGCACGCCATGATTCATTAGGACCTCTGCCCAATTTGCCAATTCCTGAGCCAAAACAGCAGATGCCGAGGAAGGATGCCGAGCAACCTAATGCTGGGGAAGCCCATCAGGCAACAAAGGCCAAAAGAGATTTTCAAGTTTCACCAGCTTCCCCTGCAAGCCAGACACAGAAGCCTTCTGTTATACCTCCCATGACTGGGATGAGATTCATCACCTAAGCCTTCTTTAAGTTTGGTGGTCCGACCCCCGATTCAATCTCAGAGCATGACTGCTACCTCCATTCCAATACATATTCCGATTCCAATACCAATGGGAAATGCTCCACCGGTGCAGCAGCAGGTGTTTGTTTCAGGTCTGCAATCTCATCAATTGCCTCCTCAAGGTATCATGCATCAGGGCCAGGGGTTGAGTTTCACTACTCCAATGGGTCCTCAGCTTCCTCCCCAGATAGGCCACATGGGACTGAACATGAGCCCACAATATCCCCAACAGCAAGGAGGGAAATTTGGTGGTCCTCGGAAAATCATTGTCAAGATTACTCATCCAGATACTCATGAAGAGCTGAGGTTAGATAAACGGACTGATAATTATTTGGAAGGTGGAGCATCAGGTCCTAGATCCCATCCTAACATGCCTTCTCAATCCCAGCCAATACCATCGTTTCCTCCGCCTCATTCAATCAATTATTATCCCAACTCTTACAATACTGGTTCCATGTTTTTTCCTCCAAGTTCTCTGCCATTGACAAGTAATCAGATGGCTCCCAGTTCTCAGGGACCAAGATTTAACTATCCAGTTGCCCAGGGTTCCCAGAATGTGCCTTTTGTGAGTCCTGCTGCTCATACTTCAGCACCTGTAAATAAGTTTGCAGCGCCAGTACATAGTGCCTTAGAATCATCTAACTTTGAGCTAGCACGTGACTCACATACTGTAAGTTCAGCTGCTTTGTCAGGGGCTATGCTAGTAACAATTAAACCAGCTGTTGCATCTGTGGGTGAAAAGATTGCGGAGTCCTTTTCAGGTGGCTCACCTGCTGGTGAGAAAGTTGCGTCGCCAAGGCCCTTGGCCCTATCTGGGGAAGGTAGTTCACTGTTTCCTCAGAGGGATCAGGAGCCTCGTCCAGAGAGCTCTTCGCAGCAGTTAAAACCTAGCAATGAATCATTGCTATCCAAGTCATCACCTGGAGAAACTAAACAAGTGATGGTAAGTTCTGCTGCTGTCTCTTCTGAAAGCTTGGCATCCAATTCATCATCATGGGCTTCAGCTGCTCCATCCGAGGAGACTGTGGCAGCTGTTACGAACGCTGAAGAAAGGAAAAAGGAAGGTCTGAGCAGGTCAAACTCTATGAAAGATCATCAAAAGAAAGCAGGAAAGAAAGGATATGTCCAGCATCAGCATCAGGTAGTGTTTGTATTTATATATATCCTTTACTAAATCACTGTTTTGTGTGACTTAGTCTGCTGTACCGTGTTGAAATGGTTCTCTGCAGGTTGGTGGACAATCTACGGTGCAGTCAGTCATGACTTCTGAACATGGTACTTCTTTCAGCAGTGGGACTTCTGAAACTGCAGACACTAAACTAATGTTGGCTCCTCCACTAGCTAATGAGGGATTATCGGAATCACTCAAGCAACCACTTTCAACTGTTGATGCTTCAACTTCAGACTTGAAGGCAGGTTTTGTTGTCGAAGGCATATCCAATGTTTCATCTGGAATATCTGGATCTGGAGTGAGTGTGGATACCGTGATTACCATTCATCATGAAAAGTTAGATGATTCTTCCATGCAGGGTGAACAACCAAAACAAGAATCTCCAGGAATTGAGGAACAAGGGGAAAAAAGATCGTCTCAAAAACCTGTGGAAGATAATAACAATTTTGAGATCTCGTTGAAATCTCTAGTGCTTGGTAATCAAACTGAACAGGAGTCTATTCTGAATGAGACATCTAGCAAGAATGAGCTTCCAACCACAGGACTTGTGCATGGAATCCATGTTGATGCCCAAACTAGTTGTCTAGAGGGTGAAAGGATCTCTGATAGTTTAGATGTATCAACCTCACAGGATGATAAAACTTCAACTTTTAGTGCCTCGTCAAGTAGAAGTGATAGCAAGGACAGCAATGAGCTTGCTGTTACGAATTTTGGTTTAGCAGATCAGCACTCTGTTCGAACCCCTGATATACCAGAAGCAACCTTGAAATTTGATGGTGAAGGTGAGGGAGTGGGAAATGGTGGTAGTAGCTTGGTCTCTGCACCTGCTTCTGGTTCCAAGGATAAACCCATTCTTGAACAATATAGGCCAAAGAGTAATGTTCCTAAAAAGAAGAAAAAGAGAAGAGAAATTCTTCAAAAAGCAGATGCTGCTGGGACAACCTCTGACCTTTACATGGCTTACAAAGGTCCTGAGGACAAGAAAGAGGCTTTATTGGCCTCAGAAAGCATAGAAAGCGTTTCAGCTGGCGTAAATTTGAAGCAGGCGCTGATTGATGACCTTCAGGAAAATGCTGTAGAAAGCGAGGAAATTTCGCAGAGTAAACCAGAGCCTGATGACTGGGAAGATGCTGCTGACATCTCCACAAATCTGGAAACTTCAGAAGCAGAACCAGCTGATGGAGGGCTACTGCAAAATGACAAGGTTACAAATGGACATATGGCGAAAAAGTACTCCAGAGATTTCCTCCTAAAATTTGCAGAGCAGTGTACTGATCTCCCTGAGGGGTTTGATCTTACATCTGAAGTAGCTGAGGCCTTGGTTAGTGCTTCAGTGAATGGATCTCATCTTGTTGATCGTGATTCATATCCTAGTCCTGGAAGAGTAGTGGATCGTCCAGGTTCAGGCTCTCGAGTAGATCGCCGTGCAAGTGGTATAGTTGATGATGACAGATGGAGTAAACTTCCTGGTTATTTTGGTCCAGGGAGGGATATCCGTTTGGATATTGGTTATGGGGGTAATATGGGTTTTAGACCTGGCCAAGGAGGTAACTATGGTGTTCTAAGGAATCCACGCACACCTGGACATGTACAGTATGTTGGGGGGATACTATCGGGACCTGTGCAGTCCATGGGTCCTCAGGGAGGAACGGGAAGAACTAGTCCTGATGCTGAAAGGTGGCAACGTGCTACTAGTTTCCAGCAGAAGGGTTTAATTCCTTCACCACAAACTCCTTCACAGATGATGCACAAAGCTGAAAAGAAGTATGAAGTGGGTAAAGTGACTGATGAGGAACAAACTAAGCAGAGGCAGTTAAAAGCCATTTTAAACAAGCTGACTCCTCAGAACTTTGACAAACTTTTTGAGCAAGTAAAAGCAGTTAATATTGATAATACTGTTACGCTTACTGGTGTTATCTCACAAATCTTTGACAAGGCCTTGATGGAACCTACTTTTTGTGAAATGTATGCAAACTTCTGTTACCATTTGGCTGCAGTTTTACCGGATTTTAGTGAAGAGAATGAAAAGATAACTTTCAAAAGATTGCTTCTAAATAAGTGCCAGGAGGAGTTTGAGAGAGGTGAAAGAGAGCAAGAAGAAGCAAACAAAGTTGAGGAAGAGGGTGAGGTTAAACAATCTGAGGAGGAAAGGGAGGAAAAAAGAATTAAGGCAAGAAGAAGAATGCTCGGTAATATTAGACTAATTGGTGAATTGTACAAGAAGAAAATGTTGACCGAGAGAATAATGCATTCTTGCATCAATAAGCTATTGGGTCAGTATCAGAATCCGGATGAGGAAGACATTGAGGCATTGTGCAAATTAATGAGTACCATAGGAGAGATTATTGACCATCCCTTGGCGAAGGAGCATATGGATGCTTATTTTGACAGGATGACAAAACTATCAAATAACATGAAGCTATCTTCACGGGTTAGGTTCATGTTGAAAGATGCAATTGACCTGAGAAAGAATAAATGGCAGCAAAGGAGAAAAGTTGAAGGGCCAAAGAAGATTGAGGAAGTGCACAGAGATGCTGCTCAAGAACGACAAACACAAGCTAGTAGGCTTACTAGGGGTCCAGGGATTAATCCTTCTGCAAGAAGGGCACCTATGGAATTCAGTCCTAGAGGGTCAACCATGTTACCTTCCCAAAATTCCCAGGTGGGTAGTTTTCGTGGATTGCCCCCTCATGCTCGTGGTTATGGAACTCAGGACGCTCGGTTTGATGAAAGACCTTTTGAGGCTAGGACATTGTCTGTTCCATTGCCTCAAAGACCACTTGGGGACGATTCTATTACATTGGGGCCCCAGGGTGGTCTTGGTCGAGGAATGTCTTCTATTAGAGGACCACTGCCAATGCCTGGTACCCGCTTAGCTGACATTTCTTCCAGCCCTGGAGACTCGAGGAGGATGGCAGCTGGTTTAAATGGCTTCGGT